AGAAACACCAAGTGACTAGTGAAGCTAGTTGAATGAAACTGAATGATTACGACCGCAATGGTCTGAGATCTTACTTATAACTGTGAACACAATTAACGAAAGGATTGCATTTCAAAACATAATTAAATGGACTGCAATCACAGGAGGTAATATTCCATTTAGTACCACCAAACTGAGATTTGATGATACATTTGGATGTTTCATATTTAAGCCCCCATGAAACAGAGCAATAAAGCGATATATGCGAGGTTCTTCTGTACTTGAGACTCTCTCTATCAATGCTCTCCTCGATCAAACGCCCTGTTCAACTGTGGAAATGCTATGGAACAATAAATGTGCCCACTTGTAACTATAGAAAAATAAGTACTAAATGACTTTTGCCCTTGAATGTCCTCGCAAATCGTAGAGTGCTGAAATGCAATCAGATGACTTGATTTTGGTGAACGGTACACAGTCGGACTGCATTGTCCATAAGGCATTAATTATCCCCCCCCCCCTGTTTTAATTCAGANTACACAGTCGGACTGCATTGTCCATAAGGCATTAATTATCCCCCCCCCCCTGTTTTAATTCAGAATGAATGCGTAGGTGAAAAGTTGGTCAGGTCAGGTCATCGGTGAGTCTATAATCGGGATGCCTGTATTGGAGCTATGGAAAGCTTCCAAGGCTTTCAAGCGGATGAGGCAATCCAGAGAAACCGGTACATACCATCATACTCCGTGGTAGTGGCTGGTCCATGAAGAAGGATAGTTTTGGATGAACCAAACGTGAATGATGCTCAACCAAGTACCCTTCACAATAATCGGGTCAGCTGATAGAAACTGGTGGCATGAATTTTGAGTTTGGTTCTGTACGATTATAGATGGCATTATGCGTGATTTATTTTGGTCTGTATGGATACCCGGAGCATCTAGTGGAATCTGTGATCGAAAGACAAGAGGTGCGTCTCGAGAGGGTCGTTGCTGTGAAAAAGTCCGTGTACATGTCCTTACCATTTAAAGGTGACACCTTGGCATAGATTGTGCACAGAAGGATATTAGATGCTGTCAACAAACGTTCTACAAGGCCACATTACAGGTCACATTTACATTTAGCCCATTCGTATATATGCGGCTGAAGGATAGAACGCCCGACTGTGATTGCTCTTTTTGCACTCTTTCACTTGCCCTCGTGGTTGACAAGTGGAGTAACTGAGCCAATCCTAAGTGTGGTTGCGTCAAGTCATGTCGACACGTCACAAGCATGACCAAATCGTTCCGATCCCTGTAGAGAACTAAAGATACATGTGGTTTCGCATTTTAGTCAAAGCAGAAGCAGTCAGCAATCATCCTCGCAAACCCCCTTTATATGCTTAAAAACAATTAGTACAAGCTCACAAGACCAGATGGCTGACAAGGGACCAATCATGATACACCCGAGAAAATTATAATTGGGGAAGAATTATAATGCAAACAATGGGATATTCTAATTACTTTCCTTCATAAATCCCCATCTGCAACTATAGCCATTTACACTGTTCTATAATTTCCTGATTACGATACAGTGAAAGCCAGCTTATTTTTCAATTTCTTCTCCTCATCTTGTCCCTCCGAAAAAGGGAGTAATGATGTGCTTCTTTATTCGTTTATACCCAACTNACTGTCAACTGTGTCCGCTTTCGTTGCTGTCGGGCCAAAGTGAACTGAAGACGACGCTGTGATATGAGCAGGTAACGCACACACCTTCCATGCGATCGGTCTGGAGTACAAAGCCCGGACGGGACGGAGGATGTGTACTACTGATGAGCTCTAATGAGAATGAAGCTCTAGTCGAGTACTTCCGGGTGTATGGTTCATTGGAGGAACTGAGGATAATTCGTGAAGGTGAAGGCTGACGAATAGTCAGTTTAAAACCATACACCCAATGTCTACTTTCGTCCAACCATCACTTTACTGAAAACATTTACGTTTTGGGAAGAAACATGAGGGGATAAATTGAAAAATAAATTCCGGTGCTGGGTATAACATTTTGCTGATTCCTTTTCGAATACGTATGTTCCCTGTGGCTTTGTTGGTACCTGCATTCAATACCTTTTCGGTCCAAAGAACACCAGAATCAAACTACGTACAACCACAGAGTATACACTGTGCAAATAAATTCCCACTTCAAGTATTACCGGAGAACTCTTCTTGAGACATTACACACCGTAAGCTCATCGACTTAGCACCCTAATTCCCTTACGCTGTTTGATGTTTCATGAAGACTTGTCCAAAGAGACTTAATGCAGGGGGGAACAGCTTCGGTTTTGATAATGTGTACTTTGCTATCGGCGAACTGCAGTTTGGTATTGTAAACCTGTGGAGTAAAATGGTTTAGTTGTATCAGTAGAAATAACCGAGTGAAACGGTCAGTAGTTGGTGAATGCTGCTACAGTCAGGTTCATCTAGATGATATGGATGATCAACACATTGTTGTAGGCAGACAGAAAGCAATCGATGACTGATGATTCTTGATGCAAACTATAGAATGACGCGTTTGTCCATCAACGATATGTGGAATGTGGTTCTAAAATAGTTTCCTTTTTTACAAAAAAGTTCCGGCAATCTGAACTAGATGTGAAAATGTTTCAAGACGAATAATGGCTTTTGTTGTAGTAATCTGTCATAATTGTGGAAGAACAGATAGCCCAGTGATTAATGCAAAAGCCATTGAATTCCATATCTGTTTATTATGCCAGATAAGCTATGGAATAACCACGGTAAGTGAAAGCGCTCATCATCCCATTCGAAATTCACTGTCAGTGTGAAGTGTCCACCAGTGCACTTGATTTCACTCACGTTGTGACATATGGTCATATAATATGCCATTTTTGTGTCTCTAATAGCTCTCTCTCTTCTCAGGTTGATTCTTACGTAGGATTGGTTTATTAAATATTTCACCTCCCCCATTGCACAAGCGCACACCCAGAGGTCCACTTTTTTGTGGTTGTCCTTCATCTCTGCCTTACATCCGAAATTTCGATACATTTCCTCCCTATGGTATAAGCTTATACAAACTCATCATCTTATAATCTGTTCGTCTGTGTTATGCCCAGCACTGAGGGAGTAAAATACAAAATTACTCACTAAATTTGAAGGCCATCTTCCACGTGTATCCCTCTCTTCAGCTTATTTTCAATAGATATAGTAACCAAGTGATTATGTTTACAGTTTTTTTTCCATCACGTTGACAGCAGAGATGAGTGAAATATAGGCTTATTGCGTTTAGATACTTGTCACAGAAATACAGAATACAAAAAATGCGGTTAACATTCAATTCGTGTGTATGATGATATCTCATCACATAAGATCAGTGTGATGGAATTTTGGTGGGAAATGAACGTTCTTGTTCAATCCTATTTGAAATTATTATCCGCGCAAGGCTAACACTTTTCAACCACAGTGTGAATCATTCAAACAGTATGGAATCGATAAAGCCATTGGAAAGGGTGAATAAACAACTGTGAATCGATTTTTGAGACTGCAGTATTTTGTGACAACTGCAACCGGTAACCAAGGTTATTTCACTTCAATCGCGGTTATTGTGCTGCTCTAACGCGTGTCAGTGTTGTGTTCTGAAAAATCTGGACAAGCGTTTCACGTAACAGCCGAATTAAGTTGGTCGTGCGAAAACATTCATGAGATGCATCTCACGTGTGAATCATTAAACTCTGCTAATGACCATCATGGGTGAGCAGCTTCAGTTGTGATGAAATTCAAGTGAGTTAGAATGCGACAGGTCTTTTTCCGTTTGTTGTCAAGACTTGTTGTTGTTATTCTAATAGGCTGCGGTGATGGCGTGCTCTGAGTAAATGTCTACAGGTCATTATCGGATATGACTCACCTCTCGTAGTTCTCCGTAGTAGTCTATCGGAAGCACATCCATTGCTTCGTATTGCAGATTCACACGAATTTGTGGCATTGGACCGCTATCAGGTAAAACAAATGCACCTGTACCGTAGACTGGTGAATTGCAGGTTCCATCCAACCCACCTTTCATCGCGCTGATGGTCGTCCCGTGAGCGGAAGCGCTGCCCGTCGATCGGGACTCACGAGACAATTCTTTTTCAGCCGGAACGACCCCAGCAGTCCACGTTTTCTTGCGTCCACGGGAAATGGCGGGTACTGGAGTGTTGGATTTACCATCCCCGGTGGGGCTCTCCTCAACCGTTTCATTCAGTATGGAAAAAGCGGATGCGGAAGTGGAGTGCCGGAAGCACGCGATCGGGGTCGAGCGCTTGCGAAATCGCGGGGCATTGGGCGAACTGTTAGCAGTCGAACCGTTTTGCCATTGGTCCAGCTGGATCAGACTGGGCGATTGCATGTGAAGCCATTGTTGTATTTCGGCTTTTTGAGGAACTTCTTTCAACGGGATTGTAACAAACGCTAAGGGAGGTGGAAAGAGAAATATGAAAGAACTCGGGAGGGTTTTTCATTCACTTAATACTGTTATTACACCTATTGATTTTGACAGGTCAATGCTTGAACTGACGCACAAAACTGGTCCGGTATGCCACAGTTCATATTGCACAACTGAGTGATGCATTGGTAAACGTTAAGAATTTCCATTGAAAACTAAGCCGTGTGAACGACATGAAAATTTTATCTGCTATATGGAACCCATATGCCTAAGAAAACTTTTGGAATCTTATTCCTAAAACGGACCGTATGAATTTATCATGGTTTCCATTCATTTAGTCATGCAAACTCATTGGCTCTATCAAATGAAAACACTGTGGACTAACGAAACCAGGACGTATGAAATAGCTTAATAGTGCTAACGAACCGTTTAAGCACTTCGGATCCCAAAAAGGAAGTTCGTGGTTCGCGTTTCGGGTAGTAGCGCAAATAGTAAGAAATTACGATCAATTAAGAGGAAGCTAGCTACTCTACCAGAAAAATCTTCATTTATGAGGGTCAAAGTGTTCGGGGAAGCTTTTAGCAGCTGCCAGAATTCGGGGTGGAATTTCATCAACTGAACTTGAGGTCGATCATCCTCAGAAGCAATCACAAGAGTGATCAACAAAATTTCGAAATTTCGGAGAAATCCACTTTGATTCACTATGTTCATCTCTTTTATCTTCCCTTATGTGACTTCCTCTGATTCAATACAAGATTGCACAAATACTTGCGCAATCGTAAAGCAGCCAATCAGGGGGATGTCATTTGATACCAAGAACTGGGAACTGTTAGACGCTGGTGGTGGTAGTGGTGGCGATGGGTTTAGAATCTCCAACCTCTGACCGTCATCACTTGATCACCTAAGTGGATTAATCAACAAATATTGGGTAAGGAAGAAAGAATACCATGATCCCTCCTTGAGTCTTTCTAACACGCGGAACTGATCTTACGGTGATCAAAGCTTTTGGGTTAAAGAAGTATAATCACAGGAGAGAGCGAACCCCGGTCATAGTGAGTAACAGGATGATTCCAAGACAAGGACAAAATATGTAATCAATCTTTTGTATTCTTGCAATGTTCATCCGAATTCAGAGATCGGTTTATTCCTGACCCAATCAGTAGGTTTTCAAGCTATGTGAATTCGCATAGATGATACAAGAATGCATTGATTTCATTAGGCTATGTTTTCATGGTATTGGATATCGATCGGGTAGCTCAAGAGAAGAGCTCTGCATTACTATCCGTGGGTTTGTGATTTGAGTCCTTCCAGGGACACACATATAGTCAACACTAATGAGTTCCGAGGGGGACTAAACAGTTATCCATAGCTCTTTGTTGGCCGCGCTAACAAACGACACCAAAAATCCAGTTTTTCGAGTCGGGAATGGACTAATATTTGTGCGCACTATGATTATGCGAAATCTTTTAAAGATCACGCAGGTCATTCATAAATGATGATTTTTGCTGGTGGTTCCATCTAGATTTAAAAGTGAACAGAATCGGAGAATGAGGTGATTTTGTGATCCTTGGTGGGTAGGTTAGTGAAGCGAATCACTGCGTGGGTCTGGATGATTCCCTTTGTCCTCAGATATTCTACAAAGGAGAACCTTAGTTTTCTCGATTTGGGGTGGCGCACAGCCTACACCAAGGAACAGTCTAAGGTATTTTGAGGGTAGAATCAAGAAGGTGAATGTTTCGAACTTGAAGTGCCTGGCAGAGGTTTGAGGAAAACACACGGAGTAGTGCTCTAAAGCTTCCGAGTATTTGGTGGCTTTTAAACACAAAGAAAAAATACATTTTTGCAACCCATGGATGGATTTTTATGCTGACCCGATACCTTGAATTTTATGAGGGGAGGAGGGGTTTTTATTTGGTATTATACTCTGAATACTGTGGCATCCATTTAATGCAATATCAATGCGGGGTATTTTGATCACTACATGTATATACATAGTTGCTTAGAAAAAATGAATTACTGTTGAGACCGAAAGATTGGTACTTCTGACATAATAGTATAAATGGGTAATTCTTCACAGAAATAGTATTTGATAGAGGGATAAATTACAGCAGAAATTTCGCTGCAATTTCCGACCAAGCCCGTGTTTCCCCTGCTGAATACACCTCCATACATACACATGACCATTTATGCGTTCTACGGTAGTAGCGGAAAGATAAACCACGTCCAACTCTAAGCTTAAAAACCTATACCCTTCAAATAAAATGAATTGTCCAACCTAGTCCATTGAGTAATGTTTGTGGTGGTTTAAAAACAGAACAGTCGGTTACGGTTGGTTCCATGAACCATCCCCTATATCCGTAGACTAAACTGTTCAACGTTATGACACACGTACCGAAGTCCAGTCTCACAGTTGCTGGACTGGGTGTCTCAATAGTTGCATAACCGACAACAATAAAATGAGATAAACCATGAACTGCGGTATTTCGGAAAAAGGACATTCTTTGCTGAAAAAAGAGAAACGAGTGAATAGCGATGTTTACCATACGCATTATGCGCTTTCTCTTCCCCGTGATCTAGTACAGAGGGCGCTCAAATTGCATATTTTGGGTGCGTGACTTTCAGATCATTTCATTGTCAACCCTAACAGTTACTCTCACCAAGGTGATAAGATTGTGTGTGTATGTGTGTATGCATAACATCCATTTAGTTTCATATGGCGAAAATTTCAGTTTGTCCAACTAGCTTTCAAACTGTGGATCGATGACCCAAAGAAGTTCACAACGGATATAGAGATCGTGATTTTTAGCATGTGAAAAGAGATTAAAGAAGTAGGTTGATTGAATTCACATTCTAACTGCGGTGTAGCCAGAACATGTGCCGAGCCAATATTACAAAATCCATTTGTTGAATGTCTATCTGTTATCATCCTATATCCTTCTACTCAACTAGAGCTTCATCAGTGCAACTGCTGAAAGAGTTGGGGAATCGCGCAAAATGGCAAAATGTTCATCAATGCATTAACCAAACAATGACGAACTATTTGACTCACCCAGAAATTGATTCTGTCCTTTGGATCGGCTCCGCTTCTCTTTGCTCGGATCGCCTTGTTTATACAAATTAATTGTAATGATGGATACATCCGGTAGATTGCTTCAATCAAATCGGGACAAGATGATTAGCAAGAAGACAGGAGTTAGTGAATTGAAGTAAATCAACAAACATGAAGGAGCATGGTCTTATACAACACGCAAACGCAACCGCCGACATATACATCTAGCTAACAGAGTAGG